CCATCCATCCATCCATCCATCCATCCATCCATCCATCCATCCATCCATCCATATATCCATCCATATATATTTACTAAATATTTACTGAATGAATGCTGAAAGAATTCTGGTGTTTGATATTTTTTTCTGAGATTATAATTTGGTGCATAACACAATCCAAGAAACATTTGCAGTAAGCGCTTAGTACAGTACAAGAGATAAAGGAGTAGTGCTGTCGGGTGGGCTTGGAATTTTAAAACCGTTTTGCTTGTGTAGCGCTACAGCTGTTTGTGTGAGTATAATTGAGTAGGCCATTCGATATGCAGAACGATGCAGATGTGGCATTACTTGGATGTTATTGCATTGTCTTTTGCTTTTGTCTCATCAGTCTCATTCTGCTGTTTCTTTTTTAGCTTTCAGAAAATGTGATCGACCGGATGAAGGAGTCCTCTCCATCTGGCTCTAAGTCTCAGCGATATTCCAGTATTTATGGTGCTTCAGGTATGGTGGCATTCTTTCTGCAGGGGTTTTCATTAAGAAACCGCAAGTAGGGAAAGTGGACTCAATAGTCAAGTTCAACTGCCCTTTATGCTTTGTTATTTGGATGTTCAGCTTTTTAGTTAGGGTGAATATTAGAAATCAGTGTCAGGGTTTCCTTTAAAATGTTTGGCTCTGCTTTCAAACTTGTGAACTTTCGTTTTTCCTCATCCAGCTCCTAACCCCTTTGCTAAACTTCAGAATGCAATTTCACACCTTTTTGTGTGAAATGGTTTAATAGTAAGAATATTGGAGATTAAGGAATAAATACTTATTTTTAAAGAAAAACCCTGAAATTAGATAGTACTCATTGCTTCCAAATTGTTAAATACTCTCAAATGATTTTATTTTCTAATTGTTTTTGAAGCTTCAACAACTGATATAGTTTGTCACAGTCTGACGTATTTATTGTGAAAATATTGTTAGATGGGATTGTAAGCTTCATCCGTAGGTCTTCCTGGATGAGAAGGAGCTAAAGAGACCCAATACTTTTCCTCTTTCCTCACTTTCCTGTAGCTTCACCCATGTACTTGTCCAGCGAATACTGGGCACACTGGGCGTGTTCTGTTTGTCCGGCACTTCTCTTTTTCTCATCTGGAGACAGAACCCAGCTTAGATTTGCTGGGCCCCTGGCGAATGTCCCTAGTGCTTTCCCACTCTGTTCTTGACACTGCCCAAATAGAGACTGGATATGCTGTTGATTGTGAAATGTCAAGAACAATATGGGAGTGATTACTTTTGGACTAAGAGTTTTTGGAGTTTATTTGAAAGGTGCTCATTTGGCTACATGTTGTAAAAGTGAGAAAGATGAGCTATTGTGCACATGCCACTCTCCTGGGGGCTGTTATGACCATTAAATTGCCAACATAATTTGAGCTTCTGGTATAATGCTTAATCAGGAACAGTCCTTGTCTTTTCAAAGCTTCTTGTTTAGTAGGAGCATTGAACCGTCTTCATGGTTAACTAACACAGATGAAAGCAAGCACATATCCAACTTAATACAGCTCATGCAACCCACTTATTTTTCTATAGACTGCTGCTTTACCCCATCTTTTCCAGAAAAGAACAGATAATCAAACCCTTAAGTGGAGCCACATTATTTTTTTTTTACTCTTTACACCCAGCCAGTATCTGATCTTGTCAATGGTATATCTAAAATGCATTTGAATGTATCCTTTCTGGCCCATCTCTACGGCTATAATCCAGATAACTATCATCTTTTACAGTCTCTGCACAGATCCCAGTGTTGTGCTATTTACATAGCAGCCTTCATGTTTTCATGAAGAATGTCAGTCAGTTCATGTCATGGTTCAGGTGCTTCTCTGTGGGATGTGATCTGACATGACCCATTTCCCATGACCTCTGAGATGCAGCAGGACTAGCTCCTGTCTACCTCCAGTGTTAGTTCATTATTACCTCCCACCCCAGTTCTGCTCACCCACTATTGTAAGCTCATGGGCCTCTGTCCTAGTCTTCTCATGGGAAAGTCCCTAGCTCTGGGTTAATACCTGCTTCTTGCTGCTAATTATTAACTGTTGAGTTAAATTAGGAAAAATTCCATTACATATTTTGAAAGTCACTACTTTTGATCATTCCTGGACCTAATTCTGTAAATCTGGGTGACATTTACTGAGTGCCTGCATTACAAATAATAAAGCTTTTTGAATTGTTTCAAAGAGTTTAGAGTATGTGCAGATATAACTAAATGCTTAATAAGACTGTAAGGAAGGTAGAGACACATTCAAAAAACAATAAACCCCAGAAGATGTTGAAATTAATTTTAAATATTTTGGTTTAGGAATAAATTTTGATTTACAAATATTTTTTGGATTTGGAACTTGTTTTAAAGTTGGATTTGTTTTGCTTTGTAAAGGTAGACAGTGATGAAATAGTGATGAAATGATAAGTAAGAAATGATATTTATATGGTAGGTTCTATGCTAAATCCTTTATCTCTTACCTGGTCTTATTCTTAAAGTCCTCCAAGAAAGGAGCTGTTACTAATCAGTTTCTGTAGTAGGAAGCTGAGGCACAAAGTTATCAAGTCGCACAGCTGGTTACCAACAGCTGAGAGTTAAATGTGACTCCAGAGTAAATGCTGCTCTGCTTATGACAGTTCGCATTACCTCCGTCTGCATTTGTAGAAGAGATGTGAGGGGACCTGGTAGGAGGGTGGGAGCTGCCTTAGATGTTCCGCTGGGCTTAGGAGAGCACTTTCTGACTGCTTGTTTGTTTTTCAAGCTCCCGCATTGAGTCTCGCTCTGTAATGAGCTGAAGGAGTGATGTGTTTTCCTTTTGGAGTTGGCTTTTTTTGATTTTTAATTAATTTGTGTACAGGCGTGTGTGCACATGTGCGCACTGTATGTCATAGTGTGCATGTTAAGGTCAGAGGACAACATTGTGGAATTGACTCTTTCCTTCCTCTGTCGCTTGGGTTCTGGGGATTGAACTCAGGTTGCCTGGCTTGCATGGCAAGGACTTCTTGCCTGCTAAAGCCATCTTGCTGGCTCCTGGGGTTGGTTTCTTAAACTGACACACTGAGAGTTAAGATTGGCCTGCTGAGTTCTGTGAGTGCCCATGGCGTGTGTGACCTGAGAGCCAGGCCTAGATGATGTGATAAGCTTGGCGTTCTTTCTTTGTTTTTTTTTTTCTTTTCTTTTCCTTTTCTTTCTTTCTTTCTTTTTTTTTTTTATTAATTACACTTTATTCACCTTGTATCCCCCCTGTAGCTCCCTCCCTCATCCCTTCCCAATATCACCCTCCCTCCCCCTTCTCCACGAATGCCCCTCCCCAAGTCCACTGATAGGGGAGGTCCTCCTCTCCTTCCTTCTGATCCTAGTCTATCAGGTCTCATCAGGAGTGGCTGCATTGTCTTCCTCTGTGGCCTGGTAAGGCTGATCCCCCTCAGGGGGAGGTGATCAAAGAGCCAGCCACTGAGTTCATGTCAGAGATAGTCCCTGTTCCCATTACTATGGAACCCACTAGGACACTGAACTGAAGCTTGGTTTTTTGAGGAATCCGTCTGTTTCCATTCCAGATTTGACATGACTACAGACTGGTTCATGCTCAGCCCTGACCGTCATGGGCGCTGAAGACTTGTTCTCAGTCATTACCTTTGACTAGTGCAGAAAAGCTAATTAAAAGGAAATATAATGGAAATGTGTCCAGGTGGACTGGTCACTTTTCAGGGTCACTCACTGCATGTGGCTAGTGATGTCATGTTGGGTGATGCAGGTATAGACCACGTGTAGCCTGCAGGAAGCTCTACTGTGAGGTTCAAGCCTGGAATTCACCTGTGCTGGGCATTTCCAGTTTCATCAGGTGCTCCAATGCTGTGACTGAGGCTGCGTGGCCAGGTGGTTCAGTGTTGGTGGCTTTTGACTTGCTACTGTCAGTGCCTTTCACATTACTCCTTCTAGCACTATCAGTGATGGAAACTCTGGGAACATCTGTGGAGGTTTGGTATCTTGACAACAGTCTTGGACACAGCTTCCCAACCCTCCAGCTAAGAGAGTGCTGGAGGTGTTGGCTGTTCATGTTTGCAGGAGTTGGATCACTTATTTGGTACCATCCTAGGAAAAAGGATCTAGTAAGGCTATGATGTGGTTTTCCTCACTCCACCCTAAGCCAGGAGGAGAACTAACATTGGCATGGTACTTTGAAGTGATCTTACCTTTAGGTTAAGAAAACAATTAGACCATGATTGTTTAAATTAACAAATACTGGTTCTTAAAATTTAAAAAATATGTTGATAAAAGTTCTAGCCTCAAGATTTATGTTCTTGTCTAAGTTTTTCTCATGGGGTTTTAGTTAGTGCTCAGTATAGAGTTCTTATGATTCATAATTCAGTTGTTTTGTGAAGTCATTTTTCAAGTCTACAAAAGTGTATTGATGGAAATGTCACTAGCTTTTCTATGTTTTTCAGTGTCAAATAAATTATATATTAAATATGAGCTGAATTTTTAATATTTATTAAAATGCTTTCTTTCTCCTAGGACTTTTTCATACTAGCCCTAGGCTATTCACCTGTGTGAATATAGGGCAGTGTATTTCATGAAGTGAAGGCTGTAGAATTTCTGAATATAAGAGAGATAAGATTTGGCATATATGTGTATATATGTAAATATATGTGTATATATCTATATAGTTGCTAAATGTAATTTATATTCTACAAAAGTAAGGTTTTTTTAAGGCTGAAACTTTTTTTTTTTTTTTTTGAGAAACCTTGAACCAGATCAATGACTCGTTGCAATAAGTATTTGCATGTACAGCTGTATGGGCAAAGTAATATACTGTGTGACACACAGCAGATTGCAGCGCTACTTTAATAAATGAATGTGCTCTAAAGAACTTAACTGTGTCCTTGCTGCCTGGGATTCTTTGCTACATATCACAATTGTGTTGACTTGCTTTTATACCAGCTAATTCTTTTTTTTAACTTGCCAGAGGGGATGCCATTTGTAGTTATACAAGTTTTTATTAACATGTTGCATCTTCTGATTTTAAAAATCAATGTTGGCTATATTTGGCTTTTTCCCCTTCATACTGATCTTTTAGTTTTGCTGACCAGTGGTGAGGTCAGGCCGCGCATATTTGACCCTATCCACCCCTAAAAAACTGTCTCCAGATTAATATGAGGAAATCAGACAAGAAATGATATTAGGAGGGTGTTTATTGGTTTCCTAAGCTACTGGCAACCTGATAAAAATGATAAATCCAGGACAAAAAAAAAAAAAAAAAAAAAGCAGATGAGCTCATTCTTATTATCTTCATCGTGCATATTTCTCTGAAAATTCATGTCATTGTGAAAAATAGGGGAGATTTGCCGATTTGTGTTAAGTGTATTGCTGAGATCACTAAGTATTTGGCAGCCTTCACAAATTGCAGGAAACCAATTTGAGCAGGAAATAGCACAGCCCAAACTAAGCAGCCAATTTAGGGAAATAGATTCATCTATATGTTGTA